AGCATGTTATCTGGTGAGGGTTGTGGTTCTATGTGACAGTGATAGAGCTATCCCCTAAACTAGAGCAGCAAGGAACATTCAGGCCATACAACGCAATAAACGATTTTCAGTTCAGAAAGTGTATTTTATGTATTACATTGCTTTAATTGTGGTAGCTGCACTAGTGAAATAGTAATGCATCTGGCTTTAGTTAACTGTTTTATAGTCAGATTACCAACAAAACTAGGTTGATGTGTTTAACCCTTTAAAGCCTGAACCATGAAATAATTGACAGAAAATTCTAATTTTCCAAAATTGGAGTTGTCATTGAACTTTCTGACAAATTAAATAAAAATATACATTTTTAATTTTATTTTTAAAATTACATCTTTTAGTTGCATCAATTTTTATATATTACTCATTTCTATATAATCTTTTATATGTTTTCTGTCACTACTTGTATCTGATTATGTCAGTGAGGGTTTCAAGAACAAAAACATCACACTGATGATGCAGCTGATCGGGCTTCATTGTGCTACCTCACACATTCTGCAATGAAGTCCTTGTCACTGATTTGAGGCAGCGACAACCACGGCCCACGGCAACATCCTCTCAGTTCTCTGTAAAACTCAGTCTGTAAACTGAAACGAGTGGAAGGGACACAGGAAATGATTCGATATAGAGAAACAGGATGCAGGTGCTTTTTAAGAAAATATTCACAAGACAATTTCCTCACCTACTGTATGTTGCACACCACACTCAGCAGATTTCCAAAAGCAGCATTATGATTCATGCATTTTGGGGTAGGGCTCTCTTTTATTTCTCAAATTATGGTATAAACCACATCTGAGAGATTTTAATACCTACCGGTACTATGAAAATGGAGGTGGAACTGTAATGGTTTGGTAATACTTTATGCTGCAGCAGGACCTGACAAGAGTAAGTCTAAATAATCCACATTGAATTCCTTGTTGTATTTGATGGCACATGAGGAAAATGTCAGACCATTTAGAAACTAAAAAAGGCCAGTAGATCAGAGCAATGAAGAGATACCGAAGGGGAATCCAAGCCGGGGTCAGGTGACAGGGCCAAGGTCATTATCAGACAGAATCCAAACAGCAGTTGGAAAACAGTAACAGGTAGGATCAGGTAATCGAACACACAGTAGGGTACGCTGGAACTTTCACACTCGAGACAAATAATCTGGCAGGCAATAAACAGGCAGCTTAAATAAGAACTGGAACAGGTGGAATAGATGAGAGCAGCTGAAAACTGGGTGGAGCTAAGCAGGTGGAAAAAAATATCTAATAATCCAGTCATCAGTACCGATATCATCACCCAAAATCATTCATATTTTTTTGGATTATTTTGGATTTCTAGCTTTGATGCACAGTCCACCAACCGCAACAAAAGCTAACTGTTATCAGAGTAGAAGAATCAGCTTAACCATCTGTAATATGGTTACAATATGGTTCCTCAAAAGCTTAAGACTTTTGAGAAGGCACCTCCTGTTTGGATGTGGCATTTGTAAATGTGTTGCAAATGTTTCCTTCTTTTTGTACACTAGCTAAGAAATATTCCCTTGGGACTCGAACAGCTCTGCTCAGTCGTTTGAGAAACTGCTCTCACAAGTGCAGCACATAATCTATTTATATCAGATTAAATAACATTAACATTTTAGTAAAAGAAAGATAAGCTGAGGAAAGTTTATCTGTAAAATTTTAAACAGATTTAAAGGAACAGAAAACTCAAATTACTTTATGTGATGAACACATGAAAAACAAACTTTAAAAGGTAATTTTCAGATGCATAATAATTGAAAGTAAAGAGAAGTTTGTTTACAAACCAAAACTAAATATGTTTCAGCCAATAGTTTAAATAAAACTAAAAATCAGGAATGTTTCATGATTAATTGGTGTTATCTTTAGTCAAAATATTTTAAACTGGGATAAATATTTTTTCCAAAGTTCACAGTGAAATAAAAATTGAAATGTTATACTGTGTAAGACGAAAGGTAGGCAGCTTTACTTGAAACTTTCTAACCATTTAAGAAAAACAACACATTTTAACTTAAGTTGGTTGGAAAAATTCCTTAATGTCGACATTTGTTCGACTATTATTCAAAATAAAGTAGTCAACTTTTTTTAGTCTGATTTGTGTTTTCAAAAAGTGAAAAAATAAATTGAGAATAATGTCATTTTTATTTACCTTTGCATTTGTTTTCATTGTTGTCCTCACTTTGTCATTTCCACAGAAGAGTTTAGACTTATGTGTATCTGTGTCTCACTATATTCCCATCCTTAAGGGGTGTGGCTATTTTTACATGTTTTTTTCTCTAGTTTGTTTTTTCCACAGAGCTATGTAAATAGAAGACTTATGCAATTTTTTTAACAACTTATCTGCTTACAAGGTGCAGTTGGTGCTATCCTGGCAGTAATTGATGGTTTTACCTCTGGCTTCAGGCATGTTATCTAGTGAGGGTTGTGGTTCTATGTGACAGCCATACAACGCAATAAACGATTTTCAGTTCAGAAAATGTATTTTATGTATTATATTGCTTTAATTGTGGTAGCTGCACTAGTGAAATAGTAATGCATCTGGCTTTAGTTAACTGTTTTATAGTCAGATTACCAACAAAACTAGGTTGAATCCTTTAAAGCCTGAACCATGAAATAATTGACAGAAAATTCTAATTTACTAAAATTGGAGTTGTCATTGAACTTTCTGACAAATTAAATAAAAATATACATTTTTATACGTTAAATTACATCTTTTAGTTGCATCAATTTTGATATATTACTCATTTCTATATACTCTTTTATATGTTTTCTGTTCACTACTTGTATCTGATTATGTCAGTGAGGGTTTCAAGAACAAAAACATCACACTGATGATGCAGACGATTCAACAACTCAGGTATCAAATATGATGCATTTGACTTTAAAGGGTTTACATTAACAGGTGAAATTGTAATTAAAATAACACAAATACATATTGAATAAAAAAAGAGATTAATTTCCTTGTATCACTATTACCTAATAGGTTTAAATGCTTTAATTAATATAATTTATAGTTACTTCCCAAGTAAGAAATAAGATTGGGATTTGGCATGTTTCATGTAATTATTTTATAGTCAGCTTAATACTTAAAATCATTTATTTCTGCTAAACATAAGCAGTTTTCAATGTATTTAAACAACAAGATATTTTAGGCAAAATAATATTGTCTGTAGCAGTTAATGGAAGTGGATTTCCTGTTATTTCCCAGGGTGCTTTGCATCTTGCTAAATGTGTCATTTGAAAATGTGTTTTATATTTAGTTATTTCATACAACTATGGTTCTTATTATTCACAACTAAATACCTTGTCTGAGACAGGACTTCAGGGGTAAAATGGGTGTCATATGCAAGAGTCTCTCCTGCAACTAAAGGGTTGATAGTTCAAGTCCTGAGACTGGTTTTAGGTGCCATTGTGTCCAAAGGCAACCAACTTCACCTGAATTGCCTACTGATGGTGGTCCCAGGACAGCTGTGGCTACAATGTTGCTTAGCACCATCAGCGTGCCAGCATGTGAATGACTGAATGTATTGTAAAGTGCTTTGGTCAAGTCTAAGTACAGGCCATTTATTATCTTATTATCTAATATAGTTAAGAGTTTAGATTTGATACTTTTATAAAGGAAATTTAAAAATCATAGAAAATATAACCATTAATTTGCAATATAAGAAACACCATCAATGAAAGTCAATAATATTAATGCAACTGGTAAATACTAACTATACAGTGCTTTTTTTTAAGTTAGGAGACTTGACCAAAGTGCTTTAGGCCTTCAGTTCTTCACCACCCCCACATCATCAACCTTGTGGCAATCCACATTGTAACCACAGTTGCCCTGGGGCTCACTAACAGAAGTGAGGCTGTCAGGCCCTCTGACCACCATCAGTAGGTAATGTGGGTGAAGCGTCTTGGCGACACGACATTGAAAGCCAGAGCTGGGGCTTGAACTGCCAATCCTTAGGTTGCAGGAACAAGTCCCGCATCCACCACTGTGACCCCACTAGAATTCAAGAATATTATTTAAATTGAACCAAACTACAGTGATTACGCCTTATTAGTAGTGTTGCATCAATGCAGATACAAGTATCCAGCAGGCCCCCATCCAGCACTAAAATGGTGGTATCGATATCGGGGAGTACCAACAAATAGGGCACCAATACCATTTTGAGAGCCCAAAGTTTATTCAACTAATTTCACCCATTCCAGGTAGGCAATAAAAAGTTCTACTGGATTCACTTTGTATTAGTCTATTTCCTGCTTCACAAAGGTAGGCAGCAGCTTGACAAAGCCATGATGGCAATTATTTGACATCCCAGTAGTTTGCAGTGTTTAA